CATGATTCTTCCATTTCACCTACTTTCGGGTTGAAATCTCCAATGACATAGACAACATCTTTTGTTGGTGTCTGACGCAGTACTTCTTAGAGTTCATTGTAGAAAGCCTCAGTTACTTCTTCTGAATTAGCAGTGGACGCATAAGGGTCGTAAAATTGCCAGGTTTCTCTTTGATACGAATTGCTATGATTCTGTCGTCAATAGTTCGAAAGCTTTCTATGGTGAGACTGATCTTCTTGTGCAGAACGAAACCTACTCTTCTTCGCCGGATGGTATTATTTCCGGTGTAGTAGATGATGTAATCATCGGAATTAAAGAATCCGCTTCCAGTCCAGTAAACTTCACTGATGCGTATAACATCTTGAACCGATTCATTTCATTTGTTGATGATGTTCAACTTTCCTACGTATAACCCGTTCACGTTTCAAGTTCCAATTTTAAATACTTTAGTACAGCGCAAAGTTTTCTTTTCACTACGAGCTACATCAGCACTCAGGTGTCCTTTAGGATTTAGCCTGATCGCATCATCACTGCTTTCGCTACTATTAACAACTGGCAACTAGATTGGGACGAGATCCCACAACAACACATAACAAGACGTTTTATCCCAAAGGTCAAGGAACGCGTTAACAGCAAATGGATTCAACCCACACATAATTTAGCCCAATTTTGACAGAACACGGGCGCATTCGTGTTTATCTGAAAAAGTTTCACCACTCTAATTCTGACTGCTGTCAGCTGTGTGGGGTGCAGGACGGTGTCATGCACTATTTATACAACTGTCCTATGCTGGATGACATTAGGTATCAGTTCATGCAGCATGCCAATATGAACAATATTGACTGGCCAGTAAAACCTGATTTTTTCTTACAAAACAACAATAATTTTAACTTGTTAAAGGAATTTGTTTCACTCTACTCTATTAGATGTGGGATCCGTTGACCTGATCTCTTGTGATCTGATTCACTCTAGCCTTGATGCCAATGTATATACACGCCTTGTTCTGCTGTAACAGCATGTAGACTTTGATGTACAACAATGTTTCTTTAATTATAGTGTACTTTTATTTTTTATTTTTTTATCTTTTATAATATTTAATTTTTATTCTTATTTTCATTTATTTTATTCATTTATTTTATTTTATTTTACTTCCCCTTTTCTCTGCCATTATATTATTGCATCCGTTCTATGACTAACAAGAATTATCTACTATGTATTTTTCTGTATCTCTGCCTGGCTGTGCTCAGCAGTGCCAGACAATAAAGATTGTTTTGACTGATTGACTAATAACAACTCGTTGCTCTTTCCTAGTTGCTCGATTGGAACCTTCTGGCCCAAGGGTTTCAGAAGTCGGTACCACAATTTGAAACTGTATTTGTAAATTGATCTATATGGTATTTTTACAAACTAGTGAGTAGGTTGCCAGATCCTTCTCTAGGTCGCTAAGTTTTTCGTTACTTACGTTAAAACGATTTTGAACTCGAATCTTTTGAAATTACTCTTGCGATACAAAATTTGTTCAACTAATCCATATTAGTCGAACCAATTTTAACCCGCAAATTCTTATTTATGCCACTGACTCCAAATGCATTTTGCATTGCATCTAGAGTCACTGACATAAATAAGAATTTTCTCTGAGAGTAGTCTGAAGATATGATGTAAAAAGTACATACAGAATGAAATATAAGTAACCGTACCATATAGTACCGTTTATTTATAAATAATTATTTATATTTGTATTACTTTATAAACTGTTTTATTTATAAAGTGTGTGAAGGGTTCCAACAACAACATCACTCTCATAAGTATGCCACAATGGCATACTACATTGACATCAATAAAATCTGATAAAGGTTTATTGATAATGTACTGGAATAATGTATAAACATAAAGTTGTTACATCCTTTGTCAATTTTTATGACATTTACAACGTCATAAAAATTGTACACGTAATATAAATTAAAAGTAGAAAGGTGACCGAGAAACGCGAGAGGATTTTTATCGATGTAGTTAGCCTGGACGAGCAGTTTGAACAGTAATACGTCAGGAATGAAAGATTATAAGTAATTTATTTTTGAAAAAAGAAAATATGATAAAAAGTGCAGATTTAAGAAAGTGCAATAAAGAAATTAGTTTCGTTTACTTTAGTTTAGTAGAATTTAAAGTAAAGTAAACAAATAAAGTAAACTAAAGTAAAAGGTAAGAAATAAAATTCAATACAAATAAAAGACAAAGTCACTCTAAAAATTTTAGACTATCACCATTTTATTTTCTTAAGTTAAAAATTTTCTTAAAATTGGAAATGGTAAATCTTACGACGTGTTAATGGATTCCTCCTATCCGTATTTTTAATTGTTATTGGTTTTCTGTGTTTTTAAGGAACTTTTTTAAAAAGGGGCAGCTGCGTAGCCTAATAAGGAAGGTCTGGCTGTCTATGGTCTGTTCTGAAACACTAAAGAAAAAAAAATAGTGATCGTGTAAAATTTTTAGAGCGACTTTGTGTTTTATTTGTATTGGAAAATATTTATTCATCCGACGGATATTCNCAAAATATCTTCTAACATTCTGAAAATTTTTCTCGTTTTAATATCTTTTGGCACTTCATTAAATCGATACGAATTACATCCGATAGTCAGTGAGCAGAATTTACCATGAATTTTGTTTAGATTTTTATTATAATTTCTTATTTTACTGTCTTTAACTTCTATATTTAAGCATTGATCGTAATCTCCGCGTAACCACACGTTTCCACTGAAAACTCCCATTGGTTTCCCTAAAGAGTCCATTCATCCGACGGATATTCAAACAAGAAATAAAATAATAATAAAATAAAATCAATTGTATTTAAGAGGGAAAAATGTTGGTTAAATTGGAGTCGCTCTCTAAACCTATCCGCGTTTGAGATTTTTCTCAAACGCGGATGGGTTTAACAAGCGACTCCAATTTATCCAACTTATCCAATATATTCAGTCCAGTCTGGTGTCTTTAACGTCGCCGAGGCGCTCAACACGAACACATATATTTTAAATAGTTACATAAAAGTTTAAAATTTATAATGGGATGAGAGAAAAAAATTGAGCGTAACTGCTGACATGACAAAAGGAAACGACAATAGATTTCAATCGGTATAGAATCCGGACATGCAGCTACAGCAAAGGCAATCGAAGAGCTAGGTAACTAGGTAACGTGGTGGTGCCATGTAGTAGAGATGAAAACGTAAATCTGGTTCTTCTTTCTTGATATGTAATATGTAACTTTTTAAAACATGTTAATATTATACATTTATTGAAAATTTCTGAAATTTTGCAAGGAAGATTGTTTATAATGAGTATTGATGCTATTCAATTTTTGTGGTTAAAGGTGGACGACAGTGAAAAGATAAAGGATGTTGTGTGTCATCTTTCCAGTAGGGTAAGACTTTACTCGAGAACCTTATAACTTGTTTTTTCTTAAAAGAAAGAATAGTTATATAATGATGCAAGTATTCCTTTAGTAAATTTATTATGCAGTATATTTTAATACTCATAAAATTATTTTGCTTTTTTTATAGTAATAACAAACTTATATTTTCGTTTTTTTAATTATTATTTAACAATATTAATAAATAAATAACGCATCAAAAGAGCAGTTTCGATTTTTTTCTATATTCAAATACAGGAAATGAAGGTTTATAATTTTACTATGTCGGTCAACAGTATGAAACAAATCTGTATAAAATTAATGATATCGAAACTATTTCGCTTTATATAACAGAAATATTAGAAAATATAATATTGTGTTTCCTACGAAATTTATAACATATTATAACTTTAAAGTTAGAAAATCATAATTGACTTCTGTATAATAAACTGTATGTATATTAATATACAGCAGTTTAATGCTTAAAAACGAAGCATCTATATAAATTTTTAACATATATTTTTTGTTTTGAACTTCTATTTATGAAAATTATTTACGAATAGGCTACTGTAAATGATGATGACGATGAAAAACTTTTGTAATTTATTAAAATACACTAAAATATTTTATGTACAAATTATTTTGTATGAAGATAATTTTTATTCAAAATAATTATTGTAATAAAGAAAACATTTGTATTTATTATAAAAATCCATCTACAGTACAACCTGTCAAAAACGGAAACTAAATAAAACGAAAAAAATTATTCGGAAAAAACGATTTTGTGTGTTTAAAAAACTGTTTTAAACGGAGACCTGCCAATCCGAAACAAATATTCTGTGTCGTGTGATTCTGGTTTACACACGTTTTACTGTATTGGCTTTCTTTAGTAAATACATTTATACTAAACTGAATATCATCGAATTATTTAAACATTTTCAGCGGCATGTTTTTAGGAGTTTCTTATTATTTATTTTTAGGAGTCTTTTCTTATTTATTAAAATTACTTTTACATTAATTATTTAGTCAAATTTATTAACTGAAAATAATTAATGATAAGCAAATGTTATAAAAAAAATTAAAATTAAATTATCGACTTGTGTAATAAAGAAATAAATCATCATAAATCCGAGTTATCCGAGTTATTCAAAGAAAACTTTCTTTGAACGCGGATAACTTTTCCATAGTTCAATTGAAATCAACCAAACTCTGCAAAAATATGAACCACCTCTTTAGTGTTATATTTGAAAAAGCAGCAACCAAAAATGTCGAAATTCCTCTTTTTTATTAAGCTTCAAATATTAAGCGTGTTTTGATTATATCTTATCTGAAAGTTAATTATGTTTACTAAAAAAATAAGTTATGCACATGCAAGGGTTCTACGGAGCATTTTGACATTAAAATCATCAGAATTTAACGTGCGAATTTTTTTAAAACTCGGACAAAAAAGTGCAAACGTTTCCTCTGTAGCCTTGGCTCCTCACCCAGGCAATTATCCCCAAATTATAACTAAGAAAATCATAGTTATTACAAAATAACTTAAAGAGAGATATCTAAGTATTGTATGTATTGCTAATATATTAATGTTATCATTAACTTACCCCATTGAAGAATATTTTCAATGTCTTCTCGATCACAGCTACTCGGTATGCAAATATCCACACGAAATCCTGCTTTCTTGTAACTAGTAGTTTCAAATAGGTTACTCAATGGAAGTGGTTTCTGTAATGTAAAAATATATATTATTTTGCAAGTATAATTGAACATTGTGATGTCAATACTCACCAAAATATCTTCTAACATTCTGAAAATTTTTCTCGTTTTAATATCTTTTGGCACTTCATTAAATCGATACGAATTACATCCGATAGTCAGTGAGCAGAATTTACCATGAATTTTGTTTAGATTTTTATTATAATTTCTTATTTTACTGTCTTTAACTTCTATATTTAAGCATTGATCGTAATCTCCGCGTAACCACACGTTTCCACTGAAAACTCCCATTGGTTTCCCTAAAGAGTCCATCACTGAAAAATTCGTGTTAAAATTATTATTAAAATTATTCACGTGATTATTATATATTGTTTTTTGCGTTAGAAACTACATTAATGCTTATACGTTTGCATTTCTTCCTATATTAAATTAATAATTATTTTATAAAATATATTTAAAAGGCACTAAGAAATATTGAAAGAGTCTCGGATAATGGAAAATGCCAGACATGAAATAGTGTAAAAACTAAACAGTTCGCAACATTGTCAATTTACGTCATGATTTTTACCATTGATTTTATAATGGCACGCAACGGGCTGATCACGTTGATTTTTCCGGTTTTTTTAACCTTTATAACACCTAAATAGCACATACCAGTTTTCCATAGAAAGACCTTCGAGTGGCATTCCCTACGTATTGACGTAACCAAATAAACCAATCAAAATATTAATAACTATGATAAAAGTTAAATGGAAAACTTAAGAAATTGTAAGCAGGATTAATCAATTTCTTTATATATTGCTAATATATTAATGTTATCATTAACTTACCCCATTGAAGAATATTTTCAATGTCTTCTCGATCACAGCTACTCGGTATGCAAATATCCACACGAAATCCTGCTTTCTTGTAACTAGTANTTTATTTATTATTATTTGATAAGTATATTATATAAAATCATAGAACTCATTTCAATACATGCATAAATTACATTTCCTAAAAATAAATAATTATAATTAACGATAAAAAAAATTTAAATTATTCTACAATAATTTCTAATCAAAATTTAATGAGTTATTTGTCGCGATAAATCTTCAGCAATTTTTTCAAAATTTGGTTCCAACATTGTTAAATAGACATTATGATTGTGTACTGTACTTGAAAGTAATGGCTGCGATTTTATAATGTGCAGAACAATACATGAATCTTTCAATTTTTGTAACAAACGTAACGTCTAAATTTGCTAAATATCAAGTAATGCATGCATGCAGTGACACGCATTGCATGGTTGGGGTACGATCCAAGCCTCGTTATTCCTAATATCAGTAGTCCAGTAAAAACATGAAAACTCCCCAATCTTATCGAGCAATAATCTATATATATAAAAATGTGTGTGTGTGTTGTCTGTCCTTCATGTATTACCACACCGTTTATCTGATTGCCGTGAAACTTTGGGAAGTTGCACGGCAATCAGAAGGTTTCTGTCATAGTACTTATCCTACGATAGATGGCGCGCGTGTATACGAGTGTATCGAGCACAGTGTGTTCGATCGATTTCAAATTGTGAAGACCATTTCCCCCCTCCAAAAAATATCTCTATTTATGCATTTGTGAACTGTTATTTACGATACTTGTAATAATTTTTGTTTAATCACTTTATTTTTTTTTGCTAATTATGTATTCGCTCGAACTTAACTCGAACCGTAACTGTATCCCGAACAACAACCGAAGTTGCAGGAGGAAATTCGCCTATTTTACCGATCTAGGGATCCCCTTTTCCAAATTTTAATATTAACTCAAAATAATTTAAAAAGACAAATTACAATAAATCGGTTTATTATCCAACTATCGGAAATTTCACAACATCCCAAGGAAGAGAGGAAGGAGCAATTAAATAATTAAAATTATAAAGAATTAAAAAAATATATATATATATGGGGAATATCGCACTTCTGACAATCGCTGTGAGTGTGTGGGCTAAATTTGGAGAATCCGTGCTTCTCGCATGGACAACTGTATGTGGCCAACTCACGCATCAAAAAACCTTCTGATTTATTCGTGTATGCACCAGAAGAAAAAACAAAAAATATCGTGTATCCACAAACATTCCAATAAATAAATAGAATTGAAACGACACTTTGAAATGTTTTCCCGATGAAAATGAATAATAATAATAAGTTTCAATAAAAATGATAAAATGTAAATTGAATTTTATCATAACGAGTTTGCTTGAATTTCCTTTCTTCTGAGATCGCAGCAA